GAGAGGGCACGCCGAGGGCGATGGAGGCGGGGGGTGTCTTTTTCTTCTAAATTTCGTCTTTTTGGCTCTCGGTGATCGGACGTGTCTTTTCGAAAATGTCGGATTTTCACTTACTTTCGCTCACGGCGAACACGAGGCGTCGCTCACTCCGAGCCTCATCCAGTAGGCACGCGCTCGCCCGCCCCGAGTCATGCGCAGCTCCGCCCTCTCCGACCGACACAAAATTTTCCAACGACCGACACTCCACCGTCCCATCATCTTGGATACGTACGTCTTGTCCCTGGCACGTCGTTCCGTCAAGGTGGCATTTCGTTTACGACCGGGGGGAAAGGGAAGGGAAAAAGAATTAGCCCAAGCGAAACGCAACTCAGCTTGTCCCTGCTTCATTTGTCTTTCTTGTGGCGTTGACAAGTAAACAGACTCACTCGGCCCCTCACACCTGAAAAGCAGCCTTTGGATCAGAAACGTTGGCGAGCTACTGTACTAGTACATTATGTGCATGAAGAGTTGCGTTTCATTATCTTTTTCGGTTGTCAACGAGCGCAGTTGAAAAGGCATACCACCAAAGTAGGAACGCGTAATTGAATTACGCGTGTCTATTTACATGCCAGGTCAATTTGAGCTTGCGGCGCGCGGCCATCGCCGTGAAGTGGGTGAGGCATAGATGTCATGAGGTGAAGTAGGGGATGCCGCTCTCCAAAGGGATAGAGCTCCAGTAGACGGCAGTAGACGGCAGGTACTCTGCCGCCACAGCAGGGAAAAGCGGGCGTCAACACGACTAGGCGCAAAACAAGCACAAATACCAGGGGTCCCCTTCACTGCCTCGTAAGGGAGTTTCCAACGCCGGTCCGTCTCGTTCCAAACCGCGCCGTGGTTTCGACTGTCGTCCCGAGGAAGCGGGGCGCCGCGGTGGCATCGCGAAGCATTCTCGAGGATGTGTTGCGCAGGCGCCAGCGACTCCACAGCGCTGCCGCTCATCACAGACGTCGTACAAGTATCCGCTTCGCCCGTGATGCACACAAGTACGCGCCCTACACGCGACGTGACCCACGCCCACTGGCACTGGCTCGCTGGAGACACTCGCCTCAACTTGGCAGAGTCCCGCTTTTTTTAATCGAAAATTAGTAGGCAAACCGGCACCAGTGGCTGCGCTTCCCCATTGCTATCGAAAATTTTCGAAAAAACTGTGTCGGCAGAAGACGCGTCCGATATCCCCTCGTCGCGCGCGCGCACGGCGCGCACCACGAGCCGCAACTCATAATCGCGCACCACGAGCCGCAACTCATAATCCAGTAAAGATGCACTTCAGTATGATGTGTGGTCCGTCACCGGCACACACGTCCCATCTTTTCTCCGCCCAACTCACACTGTCTCGTGGCCCCGAAGACACCCTTTGAAGTGGACCGCTCGAGGCCCATCTTGTTCAACTTTCTCCGTCCGCATCCCGCGATTCCTTTAATGACCAATTCCACCCCCGCCCTCTGGTTTCTGACGCAACCATTCACTTCAATTCTCTTTGTATCTTGAATATTCATCGCACTGTGCCGCACACCTACAAACTCAAAACTGGCTGTCTCAAGAAAAAGGAGTGGAGCTCGGATAATGAAGGAATTACCACCCTTATCTTGTGGTAAGAGTTTACCCTAAATTCTTGAGTCACTCAACAGTACCTATGAAACCGTACTCCATGCACGCATCTCCACGGCCCGCACAACTCGTAACCTTGCTGCTGTACGTACAAATTGTATCTACGGTATTTATTGTTGTGCTGTGCTGTGTCCGACAGACCAACCGTTCTACAATTGTACTAAGCTGAAGACAGGTCACAATTTTCGAGAATAAATATTACCTGAAGTAAGACAGGTACGGCACCGTACTGTAAAAGTACCGTAGTTGCAAACTTGATGAGCGTGTATTCAATAAAACGGACGACAGAGTCGACCACATTGCCGGTAACGAGCGACACTTTACTTTGCTCGGCATTCTTCGATTTAATTGTTTTTTTTTTAAAAACAAGCGAACAAAAAAGCACTCATCAACATTGCAACAGGGCACATGTGTCGCACAGACGGTATGAAGCGCAATCCGTCAATCATTTTGAGCACGGGAGCACTAGCAACCTCTGGAATCCCGATTCCCGTCCCTGCTTCCACTGTTCACACCCCAAATATTGGACCGTTTTCCTCACACGAGAGAAAGTATACGCTTTACGCAAACCCCATCAGGCCATTAAGTTTTTTAAGTGTACAGTAGTGGCCAACCAGCACTTGCTGAACTGTTCAGCCTCTCACTCTACAGTACCCAAGGGTACCGTTAACGGTACCCGAGGGGTACTGTACAGTACTCACTCTCCTGGTAAACCGCCGCGCCCTTCCCTGCTGAGATATGTACTGTACGTCACTTCCCCAGATCGACACTGAGCGGGTTTCTCTGTTTCATTTTGGATCTTTTCCACCCCTTGCCCGAATCGGGCGGTGATTTTAAAGTACAGTAAAGTGCAACACTGTACGGCACTGCACCTTCGAATGCAACGCCCTGCTGAAAGACTGGTTTGTACTGTACTGTAGCTTGTTTTGATTCAGTATTCCGAGTTTCGTTATTGCAACAGGCTTGTTATTATTATCGGCAAACAGATGTTATACCTCGTTGAAATTGCTGTAGATGCGACGCGTATTGTCCGGCACCAGAAAGTGCAGGGCCTTGTTGCTTCGAGAGGGCCGTTTCGTGGGGGTCTCGCTCTCTAAATTACTCTAGAGAGCGAGACCTGTCATTGGGAGACTGCAGTACTGTAGTACAGTACTTTAATACAGTGTACTGCAGTCTCCCAATGACATTCGAGACTGGACGTGCGCTGCGTAGGATCCTCATTCAGCGTTGGTTTCCGAAGTCTAAATATAACGCGATATTTCTAGTCGCCATCTCATCGTTCAACGAGAGTTTTTATTTCAGGAAGACGTTTGCAATACAGTTACTGTGCGTTGGTTGGTTAGTGAGCAGAAACCGGCGCCGTCGTGGTGCTCGGCACTCCTTTCACAATCCCTTTTTCACAGTTATTTATTATGAGGCAATTTGCGTTCAATATCTGAGAATGCGCCGTGCATACAGCGACACCCTTTAGAAAGCAGAACGGCGGCAAGTTAATATTCCTATAATAATTCCGCTCTGCCTGTCTGTGGCCCGCTCTCAACATTTATCGGCACGTCCACCGGATGTTCAACTTTCAAAAACACCTACATCTCTTGCATGCCGAGGCATCTTGCAAGCCGAAGATTTTATTCCTAAACTGCAGCCCTGCCCGACGCGCCTTAGCTTGAGTAACCGTAGGAAACGCCCTCCCCCAGGTGTTGACACCTGGGGGAGGGGCGTTCCTATGCCCGCTGACATCAGCGGGCCATCGTTCCCATCGCAGGACACGGACGGTACAGAAATTCCCATCTGCGTTAAAAAGACCTTAAAAAGACCTGTACTTGTACATATGTACAGTATGTCCATCCGCGTACAATAAACCCTCAGTTCTGTACGATGCTCCACACAAGTAAGGGCCGGTCTTAACAGAGCACGTTCTTGCCCACCACCACACATATTATATCAATTTTCTGACCTGGCGATACTCCATTGGCCTCTCACTATATTAAGTTAATAACCCTGGCTTACAGTTCAACATGTTCAAATTCGAACTGTTTCTGACATCTCCGAGGACAGAACCTCGTCATTGACATCTGTAAAAGACACGTGTATACTTCTCAGAGCAATACAGTACAGTAGTCTCTCCTTATTTGTAACAGC